CTGCCACCCCGAGCACTTCTCAATCGAGCATTCGCTGAATTTGATCATTTCGTTTGATTCAAAAATATTCTAATACTTTTCTCGGCTAGGTCGATGTTTCTTTTGTGTTTTTATGTATTTTTACTATGTTTTTAGTCATTTTCCCCAGCTATAGCAATTTTTTAGTTGGCCACGACACCTCAAGCCGATCCGGTTGCTGCGACCACTTCATCTCTGCGCTCCAATAGTTCGTTAGCGCGTCGGTAATTAAGGAAAATGTGTGGCCTTTTGTGATGATGAATGGTGGTGATGGTGATGAGTGGGACTGGTGGTGTGGTGATGGTAGTGAGTGTGGAGTGTGGTGTGGTGATGGTAGTGAGTGTGGAGTGTGGTGTGGTGATGGTTGTGAGTGTGGAGTGTGGTGTGGTGATGGTTGTGAGTATGGAGTGTGGTGATGGTAGTTAGTGTGGAGTGTGGAGTGTTGTGATGGTGATAAGCACGTAATGCAGTGTGGTGATAGTGATCAGTGAGGTGTGTGGATTGTGGTGAGCGGGTAGTGGGGTGTGGTGATAGTGGTGAGTGCAGGACGATGATGAATATCTTAGTAAAGCTGTGCTTTGGATGTGGGATTTGGGAGAGAGAAGCGTTGAGAGGTGATAGTGAAGGTGATGATGGGGCGAGTATCAAATGATGATGGGGAGAGTATCAAATGATGATGGGGAGAGTATCAAGTGATGATGGGGAGAGTATCAAGTGATGATGGGGAGAGTATCAAATGATGATGGGAGAGTATCAAATGATGATGGGGAGAGTATCAAATGATGATGGGGAGAGTATCAAAAGGCATACAGAAAAAGATGGCGGTGGAGGTTTCATGGAGACTTGCATTGAACTCATATTATCTTTCCCACAAACCGTCAAATTCAGTAAAATACAAAAAACTTTGAGAGATGATTCCTATAAGGTTGAAATTTTATGGAAACTTTCAGAAATATCGACATTTAAAATTTATGACACTAACTGGTCTTTCAAAATACATACTCGTAAATTGCTGATTCTGATCAATTTTTAATTCCAATGTAAATCCTGCAGTGACTGACACTAATGATCTCAATACAACGCAGTGAAGAATTTTAATAAAATCATTTACCATAACCATAACTGTTGTTCCTTGATTAATAACCACAGCAGGACCACAACTGGCCAAAATATGGCCGGCGATATTTCGCCTGTAAATTATAACAGAGAACTGCAGTGTGATTCTCGTGACGCGTGGCGACTAGAAAAAACAAAAGACGGTGCGGCTGCGCAAGGAATTGCTGCTGTAAATAAAATTAACACGCACAACGTTTTTCATCATCGATCCTTTACTTTAATAGATAAATGCATGCCATCCATCAGAAGCTTTTTCTATTTAAAAATATTATATAAGATATATGAACATGCGATACAAACATCAGTGCTGCAGAGAATTTGAGCTATTATTGCTTTGAAATACAGCAATCTGTCGATCTGTCGTGAGAGAATTTGACCCGAGTAACCTTGTGAAATTAGAGCATTTTACAGAGAATAAGTAAGGTAAAAATATTTAAGAGAGACCCAGTGAAATTGGAGTAAACAATATAAACTGAGAAACTTAGAAAGCAGCGTCTAACAATAACGAATGGTTGACTAGCAACAGTTTATTCATTGGCACGTGCCAAATAATTATTTAATTCGAAAATATAAGCTGACCCTTTATGAAGCGCATCAATTCCAGGGTTCAAACATTATCTGGGTATATTCTGCTTCTGTGATACAATATTATGAATACTTCTGCGTGCTTGCAAAATTTCCATTGCTATACTTATTCTTCTTCTAATAGTTTATCAACATGAGACCAACATATGACAGCATGCAATTCTCCTGCATCACCCCAGCCTGATTATACTTTTAATTATTCTATCAATAGTTTACCTAAGTATTATCGTTGGAAAATCGTCTTCACAGATTTCACTATCAAGTGCTTGACATTAAACGCTATGCAGTTTGCCTCCGACATAACCAAGCTCCCTCAGCTCCACGTCTAAAATGGTTCATACAAACACACTAAGACGCAAGGCGTGCATTTCTTAGCAGCATCTAAACCTGATCAAAGGGACAGGCAGACGGCGTTAATGCTGAGTCAGATGGGCGAACACAATGCGGCCACTTTATACATTCAATTACGCAAGGGGCGGCCATGCCGAACGCCTACAGCCTAAGCAAGGTCCACTAAATTTGACTTCTCTTCCAGAGTTACCTGGTCGTGTTCGTTTTAATTTATACGGGAATTATTTCAGGTCAATGGATGGCCGCCGATGATTCGGGGATAATTTCTATATTGTGGTTGGTAGATTTTGGATATATGATCTCCAATTTAGACAGTTTGCTTTGAGAGGGGACATCTTCTTCCCTCTGGTGAGGAGTGAGGCCGGCGTGGTGTCCGCATTTATGACTTCATGTGCACTAAATAAAGTGGTTTCCCCCTGAACAATAAGGATATTAGAGAGCGAGTATCTAAAATCATCTTGAGTATTATTTCAGACATTAGATGTCGGGAATTTAAATCATCTTGAGCAATAATATGGATATTAGAGGATAGGTATCATATATCGTCTTGAGCAATATTGTGGGTATTAGAGAGAAGGTATCTTAAATAATTTTGAGTAATAGTATAGATCTTAGAGGGCAGGTATCTTCCATCGTCTTGAGTAATATTACTGATATTACAAGTCATGTATCTCAAATTATCTTGAATAATATTATGGATAAGCCAATTAGCATACCTAATTGAAGCCGGTTCACGTGGTACCAAAATATATAAAATGAACTTCAACAGGGTTTTCATTATAAATGATGTAAAATGTGGATTTCACAGAACTTTCAAACTAAAAATAATATTAAACATAAAATATTAATAATCATCAGTATTTTGTGATTTTTGTATTCAAATTTAAAATGTGCATGGCAATAAATGAAGTCTATAAATAAACAACCGTCGGTAGCTGAGCTCAAACAACATCGCCTGTCGCCGCAATAAATTCTCGAGATTTGAATGACCGTGCAGGTGCTACAGCGACAGTGCGTGCGCTCTGCAATACAAAGTCTGAATAACAAAGAATTTTGTCGGTGCTACAAAACCTTCGATGAGTTGCACTGGAACAATGCCGGATCATGATAGTCCTTAATGTTGCCTTTAAGTGGATGAGTGCAGTTTCTTGAAAATTCTAATGACATATTATGGATGAGGGATGGAGATGAATGTAACTCATCCAGTCATTTGGGGAAAATTTATTACCACAAAGTGGGATTGTAGAAGAGAGACAAATCTCAATTCCCAGCAACTTTTTTTTCGTTTTGTTCGTCAAAAATGTCTTTGATTTTTGGCTGGGAGTTTCTGAAGAACGTGCTTGATCGAGAGAGGCCCTTTGATTGATGCCCTGGAAATACGATGCTTCGATACCAAGCTGACGATCACATTAAGCTACACTCACGGAAATGAGAGGGTCTAACTCTAAATTTTAATAGCGATGCAATTTATCCCTTGTGTGAGTCACCCTGACTCAGATTGGCTCGGCAAAAGAGCGTATCAGTGCTACGTTCTCTCTCTCCTCATGCTGTAGGCCAGAAAGTGTTTCACTATTTGTACGTTATCGACCCGTTCATTTTTCTGAGTGTACGACGTTACAGGGAGATGGACATAACCAATGATTGCATCAGATCCTCTGATGATACAAACTGATGATACTTCCTGATGGCTGCATGCGCCTATCTCACCATCTTTTATAGCCTCGTGAAATTTATTGATGAAATCGTTGGCTGAAATTCACTGTAATTTAGGGATAGTTTTCAACCGCATGACGCGTGCTGTGAGTTCGCTTTTGTAATACCGAAAAGCAAAAAACGTTTCAAGTCCGACGAACTGTTGATGAACAATAATAATTTAAAATAATTTTCTAAAGAATGGTGAACCCCAACGATATTTTGAATGTTTTGTGCTGCCACATTGTTCAGTTCATCATCGGCGCCTGTCTCGACGCACAGCTCACGAGGTGCGTTTTGCCACCCATCAGGCGTTATTTTAGGCACGTTTTGCCACCCATCAGGCGTTATTCAAGGCGCGTTTTGCCACCCATCAGGCGTTATTCAAGGCGCGTTTTGCCACCCATCAGGCGTTATTCAAGGCACGTTTTGCCACCCATCAGGCGTTATTCAAGGCGCGTTTTGCCACACATCAGGCGTTATTTAAGGCGCTTTGCACCACCCATCAGGTGTTATCTAAGGCGCATTGCGCCACCCATCAGGCGTAATTAAAGGCGCGTTCCGCCACCCATCAGGCGTTATTTGAGGCGCGTTTTGCCACCCATCAGACGTTATTTAAGGCGCGTTCCGCCACCCATCAGGCGTTTTTAAGGCGCGTTCCGCCACCCATCAGGCGTTATTTAAGGCGCGTTTTGCCACCAATCAAACGTTATTTAAGGCTCGTTTTGCCACCCATCAGATGTTATTTATGGCGCGGTTTGCCACCCAACAGGCGTTATTTAAGGCGCGTTGCGCCACCCATCAGACGTTATTTAAGGCGCGTTTTGCCACCCATCAGACGTTATTTATGGCGCGTTTTGCCACCCATCAGACGTTATTTATGGCGCGTTTTGCCACACATCAGCCGATATTTAAGGCGCGTTCCGCCACCCGTCAGCCGTTATTTAAGGCGCGTTGCGCCACCCATCAGACGTTATTTAAGGCGCGTTTTGCCACCCAACAGGCGTTATTTAAGGCGCGTTTTGCCACCCATCAGCCGATATTTAAGGCGCGTTGCGCCACCCATCAGGCGTTATTTAAGGCGCGTTTTGCCACCCATCAGCCGATATTTATGGCGCGTTTTGCCACCCAACAGGCGTTATTTAAGGCACGTTCCGCCACCCATCAGGCGCCGTCTCTTCAATATCTTAAGCCGCGTCGCTAATCTGCAGTAAGCGGCTTGCTCTGCGCCGTGGCTTTTAAGCGATCGCGTCACCAGCGCCCGTCCCATGGCACGTCACTTCATTTGCCTCTGAACCCGTCACGCCGGCGCCCGTCTTGATGGTGATGATGGTGACGGCCTTATTTGTGCCTGCTGATGGTGACGGCCTTATTTATACCTGCTGATGGTGACGGCCTTATTTGTGCCTGCTGATGGTGACGGCCTTATTTATGCCTGCTGATGGTTATTTATGCCTGCTGATGGTTATTTATGCCTGCTGATGGTGACGGCCTTATTTATGCCTGCTGATGGTGACGGCCTTATTTATGCCTGCTGGTGGTGACGGCCTTATTTATGCCTGCTGATGGTGACGGCCTTATTTATGCCTGCTGATGGTGACGGCGTAATTAATTTATTGTTATGGTGAAAGCCTTGTTTTCTTCTTGTTATGATGACGGCCTCACATCTTTGTGACGGCAGCGGGGATGGTGAAAAAGTCTTGGCTCGAATATATTATAAATTGTTCATTGTGTTCCAGCATTGCTATCATAATTATTTTTTTGAGCAATGAATCAAAATCGAAGAAATAAATGTTTTTATTTGAATTAATCAAAGATCTAGAATATTTTATCTGTATTCTATCCTTCGCGTCGATTATGATACCTAAAACAAATTTTGCAGTTAAATAAAACACCAAGACTAAAAAATAATAAGCGAAAGAATTAGAGGGAGGACGCGATGAAGGAAGAAAAAGATGGGGAGAGAAGGGAGAGAGAAAGACAGGTGGAGAATAAGACAAGATGGAGACCCAGGATGACAATAATGCAAATGGAGGGCAGAAAAGTGGGGAAAAATTCAGTAAGAGGAGAGAATATTGAAAATGGATAAGAAAAGAATTCAGAATAACCACGATATAAAGTAGGTATATGGAGGTATGAGAAGGTGATAAGATTGGAGGGGAAGCATAAGGAGGAGGGAGGGAGGGAAGGGTTCCATGCAGCCAAATCTGACGCGCATCCATCAGTTTTACGCAGGCTAATTATAGACGCGCTTAATGGGATGGCCGCGACGCGGGGAGTGGGTCACCCATCGGGCCATACTTCTGGGCCCCGGGTGGGGGAGTGGGGCAGGGGTGACCGATCCCATCGGGCCGTACTTCTGGGCCCCTGGTGGGGGGGTGGGGCACGGGTGACCGCTCCCATCGGGCCATACTTCTGGGCCCCGGGTGGGGGGGCGTAGGTCACCGATCCCATCGGGCCGTACTTCTGGGCCCCGGGTGGGGGGGCGTAGGTGACCGATCCCACCGGGCCATACTTCGGGGCCCGCGAGGGGGCGTGGGGCACGGCTGACGGATCCCATCGGGCAATACTTCTGGGCCCCGGGAGGGGCGTGGGGTACGGGTGTGACCGATCCCATCGGGAGATACTTCTGGGCCCGGGAGGAGGGGGGGGTGGGACACGGGTGACCCATCGGGTCATACTTCTGGGCCCCTGGAGGGGGGGGACGTGGGACACGGGTGACCGTTCCTATCGGGCCGTACTTCTAGACACATGAGGGGCCCGGGGTACTGGTTCCTTTGGGCCCTACTTCTGGGTCCGGCAGAAGGGGGGGCTAATATTGGGTACCCGGGATTTGTAGTAGTAGTAGTAGTAGAATGGTTTGCTAGCGCTTCAGCTTTCAAGCTATTTCGCGCCGGAGGTTGAAATCTAACATCGCCAGAAGGCGGAAGGTCTCAATTATTCAAAGTCTCGAATTATTCATCACACACAAGGAGCGGAAGGTCTCAGTTGTCCAGCCCGCTGAAGCTGGCTCGAAAGAAGCAGCTTTAGCATCTCTAAGAGACGAAGTGACAAGGAGGGACAGGTGAAAAACAACAGAAACTAAGACACTCGAACAAGAGGTCGCTTATACGGGACGTCGGCCGCCCGCACGAGAGAGACAGAGAAGGGAAATGTAAGGAACCCTACCTTCATAATAACTTAACCCCACAACTGAGACCAACGGTCAGACACCGCGAGCTCAGCGGTGAGGCGCTCAGGAACAATCCCCCTAGGAACGCGAAATCCCATAGGACTTCTGACGAGCACAGACACTCGTCAGAAGTCCCCCCTGAGGGGGCCCGGGATTTTCGAACTATAGTTCTGGGCCGAGGGAAGTGTTGGGCCGAGGGAAGTGTTGGGCCGAGGAAAGTGCTGGGCCGAGGAAAGTGCTGGGCCGAGGGAAGTGTTGGGCCGAGGGAAGTGCTGGACCGAGGGAAGTGTTGGGCCGAGGGAAGTATTGGGCCGAGGGAAGTGTTGGGCCGAGGAAAGTGTTTGGGCCGAGGGAAGTGTTGGGCCGAGGGAAGTGTTGGGCCGAGGGAAGTGTTGGGCCGAGGGAAGTGCTGGGCCGAAGGAAGTGCTGGGGCACCCTGAAGGATATGTGTGGTGATACCTGAGTGCTAAAATGTGATGGTCGATGGAAGCGGCAGCGCTCTAGCGTGGGTCTCTCACTGTTGCGTCAGAAATGCTCACCAAGATTACTAAGGTTACCATGGTTACTAATATTAATAATATTACCAAAGTTAAGAAAAATTACCAACTGTGGCCACAAGCAGGCTACGGTTTACATTATCACCAGAGATTACCGGCTTACTGGATTACCGGCTGCGTAACACCGATCAATCCTCGCTACGTCGCATAACCCTTCATTGCTGCTTGATCTATTCAGCCGCGCCTTCGACGGGTGACTCACGAAAAACTTATTCGTGTTAAGTTTATAAGGCTTGGATTGACTTACGAACTTAAGCGTTAACTCGTTAATGCAGCAAGGATTGTCAAGAAATTATTGCCTAACGAATTTATGCGTTAGCTCGTCATTGCAACAAGGATTGTCAGGAAGGATTACCTTATAACGAACTTATTCGTTTGCTCGATTTTGCAACAAGGATTGTCAGGGAAGGATTGCCTTATTAACTCATTCGTTAACGCGTTATTGCAGCAAGAAATATCAAGGACAGATTGACTTTTAAACCAAAACGTTAGCTTTTATAGTCGCAATGATTTCGTAGAATGGTTGAACGATCATGCAATGATGCCAGATTCCAACCTTAATCGCTATTAAGTAATGGGCTGCAGAATTTTAATTATCTCTAAACAAGATACTAAGTTGAGGCCGATAACATTAATAACATTTGGTGTGCAATTAAATTAACAAATTTAACTGATTGTAACCAAAAAAATACTGTGCGTTATGCCGCTTCAAACAAAATATTTACCTCTATGCCGCTTTAAACAAAACATTTTGCGTTATGCAACTTTGAAGAAAATATTTTTCGTTTTGCCGCTTTAAATTCAATAATAACAATTTAGTCGAGGATTTACCATTCCGTTTTTCTTATAGAATTAACTTATCACTGCACAAATGTGACGAGAGCACGAGCATTTTTTGATAAAAATAAATTAGTTTTAAACGTATTCACATTTTGGTGACTCATGAAAGTTATTAAGCTGAATTAATGGGTTGGCTCGTTGCCTGATGAGTTGAGAATATAACAACGAAAAGTTTTGGGTTAAACATCACGAAATGTACCATTAAGTTGTCACCCCGCATCACACATTTGATTGAGTGCTCCCGCACACGGAAGGCAAATCGAGAAGTTCGGGGCAACAATTTTGTTGTGACCGCAGACTTGTCAACAATGGAGTGGCTGATCAATCAAAAGTTTAATTTTAAATTTGAATAAATGTTCATATATAAAATATTTTTATGAAAACATAATATAATAATATAAATGGTTACTGAAGATCACACCCAAGTTTTGAAGATCCCGATACGGTTTTGTATTCAAGATGAAAATCATTACACTTTCCGACCATCGAAAAAGTGGGATGGAGATACGGAATAATATTATTGACATTTTCAATTCACATTCCGATTCCATATTTCTTTAATTTCTTTTATTTTTTATTTATTTATTCTAGCTCTATGATGTTATATAGGAAAATACATTTGTATACATATCCAAATCTTGTTCGATCTATTGAAAATAATTAATAAGAAAATTGTCAATAAAACGAATTCTCTGGGTTTTGCCAGCATATACTAATACCCTATTTGTACACATACATGATAAATATAAAGTTTTGGTATTGCTAAGTCACGCATACAAATTATTTAAGTAAATCTGTGCAGATATTCGCTTGAATTTTATTGTAAAGGCAGCGTCCTAACAATTCAACTTGCGACATCTAGTTGCTTTCAAATCCCTTCATAGACATGAACAATCTACGCATTTGTCCTATTAGTGCTAGTACATTTATTCCATAGTAAATAGGACTATCTTTTTAGCATAAACCTGGAACTAATTTCGGTTAACATTTTTAAAGATTAATTAGAATTTTCGGAATAACTGCATTTCAAGATCGAGTTTCTGAGTGAGCATTTATTAACAAACCTATTTTGATCGAATAATTAATAAATTTTACGTAATAGCTGGAATTGAATAGGCAAACTGACCTCTAAACTACAATTCTAGATTCATCTTGATTGCAACGAAATTATGTGTCATGAATTTGCCTTTAATCATCAAGAAAATTTAACGATAAGTGTGAATATTTTCACATTGCAACGGCAAATATTCCTGCAAATATTTTGAATAGGCAACTACATTGATTTTGAATATGAATTATACTCAGTATACTCAAAAGAACTCAATTGAATTTTTTAGTATATAATTGTTCTTACAAAAAAATGCGATATACAATAAAAAATGTAATTCTGATTTATTACAGTTCCTAATTACGCACAACGTATTAAACTCGAACCACATTTTTAATTCTCTGAATAAAAACATAAATTACGACGAGCCAATCGATAAGTCATCTGAGCATCGTTTCCAGAAAATATCTTTCGGCGCTATCAAGATTTATGCATCGACATTAATTTCATCAATAAGAAGCAATAAAAAAAACGCGTCCACTTTCATAACTGCTATTTAATTCTGGCGTAACGAGCTCGGCCATTCATCGCTCTCATGACAAGCTCTGCAACACGCACAACAGCGCATGTACTTGCACTCACTTCCGAAGCTACAATCAATGCCAGATAATAACTTATAAATAATTTACAATCAATGCTCGATAATAAGTTGGAAATAATTATTCAGAGACGTTTTTGACATGGAAGAAGAAGCAGTCATTTTGGTCTCTAATCTTCGCGCCACGGAAAATATGACCGCCGACGCGGCGTATAAGGAAGAGCGTCCGTGTTGCCCCAGCGCTCGAGATCGCGTTCTGTTGGGGACAAGGGGGGGGAGTGAGGGTTAGGGTGAGTGACATCGGTGGGGGGTGAGTGACATAAGTGGGGGTGAGTGTTGGCGTGAGCTACAGCATTAGGAATGGGTGTTGGGGTGAGGGACAGCAGTTGGAATGGGTGTTGGGGTGAGTGGTAGCAGTTGGAATGGGTGTTGGGGTGAGTGGCAGCAGTTGGAATGGGTGTCAGGGTGAGTGGCAGCAGTTGGAATGGGTGTCAGGGTGAGTGGCAGCAGTTGGAATGGGTGTCAGGGTGAGTGGCAGCAGTTGAAAAGCTAGGGTGAGGACCACTTTGAGAGTTGTGATGAGTAACAGCTGTGTGGATGTGTGATGAGTAACAGCTGTATGGATGTGTGATGAGCAACAGCTGTATGGATGTGTGATGAGTAACAGCTGTATGGATGATCTGATGAATAACAGCTGTATGGATTGTGTGACAAGTAACAGCTGTATGGATGGTGCGATGAGTGTAACAGCTATGTGTACATTATTTCTCTTTTCCAGATTCCAGTAGCGGTTCAACGAAATAAATATAAACCCAAATTGAATTCGACATTAAATCAAAATAATGTTCTAAATAATATTCGTCTGCTCTTCTTGCACCTATTATTCGTGGTATCAGAGCAGCGTGCGGTCGATTGTAAAAAAAGCGGAAATGTTCAGTTTAAGGGACAGAGTCTGTGAATGGCAAGAAATCCAGCTCTGTTGAGTCTTCCAGCTCTGTTGAGTCTTCCAGCTCTCTTCAATCTTCTAGCTCTCTTCAGTCTTCCAGCTCTCTTCAGCCTTCCAGCTCTCTTCAGTCTTCCAGCTCTCTTCAGCCTTTCAGCTTTCTTCAGTCTTCCAGCTCTCTTCAGCCTTCCAGCTCTCTTCAGTCTTCCAGCTCTCTTCAGCCTTTCAGCTTTCTTCAGTCTTCCAGCTTTTCTCAGTTTTCCGGCTCTCTTCAGTCGTCCAGCTCTCTCCGGTCCTCCTAATAAATTATCCCATTTCTAGACATGCAAAATATTCGATTGTAAATAATTCTTGTTTAGAGTTTGAGTGTGTTGCATTTTCCACTTCATCAAAACATTCATTGTTCAGTGCACTAATTTAATGACCACATCTTGAACTACTAACACGAATAAAGAATATAAACAACAAATATTCATAAGCTACGAACTGTTTTCCGGTTGTGTTCGTGGGAATTCGAAAGG